TCTTTGTTGCGTATAACTGTAAAAATAAAAATTGAGGTATTTTAAGTTTAATGAGATTATGATTATAGATTGATGATTATAGTTTAATGATTGAATGACGTAATAATGTACGTAACTATACATTTTATGATTATCAGACTATATAATATCTGAAATTTTACACAAAAAACATTGTGGGCTTTTTAATATAAACGAACATGTTGTGTTGTACTATTTTCAAAATATTTACAAATTATCTGTGCAAAACTGTTATTTTTTTTCTCCAAAAGATTTTAAAAGTTATTTCTTAGGCTAAGTTTTTTTTCTTTTTGTTTTATTCTGTTTGTTATAAAAGTTCTAAATTTCATGCAAAATAAAGAATGAAATATACTGTATATACCTCTCATTTGAGAATTTCCTTTTATGAAATAAAAGGTTTGTTCTTCAACGAATGAACTAAACTCAACCAACATCTTATTTTCTCAAAATACTGAACAAGCATTTCACAATACGTTCTTTCTTCTTTTTCATTCAAATAAAAATAGTATAAAGTTGTTTACTGTGAAGAACTTTGCAAAAACGGAAGAATAGGTTTGTAAAGTGAATGCTTTAAAAATTCATTATTTGAATGCTTAAACACAGAGAACTAGAGTTTTATTCCTTTTTATCAAGCATGTTTTTGTGAAAACAAACTTAAACTGTACTATGGGAATAAAAGCATTCAACTCTTTCAGTGAATTATTTGAAATCACGAAGAAGAAATAAACATAAAAGAGTTTATGTAACGGAATTCGTTCCATGTTCGCAATTGTCAATAGAAAAACTCTGTCTGCTTCAAAAATTATTCGGAGAGTTTTGAAGTTTTTTCGCCAAAGAAAATGAAAAAAAAAACATAGTTCCACAGTTTAAGTATCATACTCTTGCAGCAAAGTTGTAGTTTTAAGTAATAGTCACTTAGTCGTAAGGAATTATTTAAGCGTTAGAAAGTGTAAAAAGCTTGAATATTTAAAAAAGTTTCAAACTTGTTTAAAAACCGCCAGTTTGGCGAAATTTTTATTTTCTTCAGTCTACGTTATTTTCTTAATTTTTTTTAAATAACCGCCGTTGAACAGTCGACCCAATTTTTGGGTTTACGACTACTAATGTTCAACTACGTAACCTTGTAATTTTGAACCCAATACAGAAGACAAGAGAACGGTAATTAATAAGCTTACCAAATTAACCCGCATCACGCGAACCTCCCAAGGTTAGCCTGGCGGCAAGGGGACTCTAACCCATGATCCCTTTACCACTCAGGATATTTTACGTCAGCACTGTGGGCGGTGCAAGCGGGATGCAGAATTCGTATCAACCAGCCATCGCCAGGATTCGAACTGACTACATCTCATTGGAAGGCGAAAGCTCCATCCCTGAGCCATCGCGGCCCTTTTCTATGTATTTGTTAATTGTTAAAACAAGTTAATAATTGCACATTTTTATGAGCTCGAAAAATGTAGCGTCATTTTTCAGAAAGAAACACAGACGGCTCTGGTTAAAAATAAGCAAAAATTTAACCTAACATTCCTCAATAAAGATAACGAACTCGCAATAATTTTATAAGTATCATTTTATTTTCTAAAACGCGTTATTTTCTGTTATGGCCAAAACTTTGAAACACTGCTTAAAGGTGGAAAAAGTCCGAGTTTTGACTGATTATTTATTGACAAGTAGGTTTTTCTGTTTCGGTTTTTGCAATTATTCATTTCATTATGCTAGTATTAGTTACAATTATTATCAAAAGTCAAATTATCGAAGCTCGCTTACGAATGTTTCTTACTTGCATTTTATACAGCATGTATTATGTACCATATTATGTATGTCGTTGACTTATTGAATAATTGAGTTTTTGCAAACAGTCACGTCATTTTACAATGTACCAAAATAATTAGAAAAGTTTCTAGTATTTTCCAATCGACTAGATACTTTTTAGGCTCATTGCATGATCCCACATATTTATAGGCTAATTAGAATGTCCATCATTCGTTTGCTCAATTAGCCTGATTTGCTTCAGGCAGTTTGCAATAGGTATAGAGTAGTGACGGCTTAATGTAATAGTCTGTATCGAGTTTATTGCAAAGCCTAAATGAGTTCGGTTTGATCAAATAATTCCTCTCATATTTCCGTATTAATCTAAAGACAATTGAACTGATTGTAAAATGTCTAAATATATCAGTCAGAATGGAAAATTCTGAAGATATTTCGAATTAGTTAAGAGCCATATTATTCGAATTTTTCAAAGAGCCAGATATTTTAACTTTACGATATACAGTCCCTGGCCAAATTATTCGACGCACTATAAGATTCTATGCAAAATCTTAATTATTAGGTGATACTATGCAGCTTTATTGTTTTTACGGGACTGAAACCGGTTTGCACTTGTTTACGTTCGTGCAACAATTGGTTAAATTAGACGATATATTCGGCGATTTGATAAATTAGACGATATATTATATAAATATAGAATATTTATTATATCAGGTATTATATTATTATATTGTAGTAATTAGATCAAATTATTAGACGCATTGTAGTTTTTTAATAATTACATGCTTTGCACTTTTTTTGTATACATGTAACGGGACTTTATTCAGGAGATTTTTTATATACTTCCTATTTGTATTTATTTTTAACGTATTGCATTACAATGTTAACCAATTGATACACGAACATAAACAAGTGTAAACTTGTTTCCGCCGCGTAAAAACATAAAGTTGTATATTATCACCTGATAATTAAGATTTTACAAAGAATCTTATAGTTCGTCTAATAATTTGGCCAGGAATTGTAGGTTATAATTGTTCTTTTTAAATTCGTGCGGAAACATAAATGAATAAAATAATTAACTACTCTGAATTCTAGATCTTTTGTTCCTTAACTAAGAAAATAACGACGATTAGCATTTCCCAAGAATTATACTTCTCTTCATGTTATGACAAATACACAATTGCTTGTTCAAATCTTAAATAAAACAGTACCACAATTTAATGTAACAACTAGGAGCTGTTACATTTTATTATATTAAATCAATTAAAATGTTTGAATGTTGCTGTTATATTACAGTTTTCAATTTTATGTTACTACCCATGATATTTACTTTCTAAACATTAATAAATTACTATTTCTTAAAAAATAACAACAGGTGTTGCTGACCAATTTTAATGTTTATTGTTAAAATATTCGTTGTTTGTCAAAAGATTCTATTAAAAGAAAGTAAAAATAAAAGTGTATTTGTATATTGTTATTAACAAAGTTGTTCTAACTACAAATAAACTATATTACTTTAGTTTACTTAATCTTTCTTGTTAATTTACACTGCTGTTCGTATCAAATTGCATTTAGAAGCATCATGCTTTTTTTTCTTGGCTGAAATGGATAAATTAGTTTTCTCGGGCAGCGCTTAAGTGAAGTTTAAGAATATTATTAATAATTCTGTAGTTAATTAATTCAGTCTAGAAAGCAGCTGCGCCTTCCAACAAGAGAATGAATTGCAAATGCAACACTAAAGATAACACTGGTGAACAAATTTGTTGTTGCATTTATAAAAATACGTGATCGTGCCTGATATGGATATGACTATTTCAAATCTTTTGTTTTAATGTACAAATTCAAAAACGTTATAACTAACAGGGGGTCTCGTAAACTTCACGGAAAACTGCTATGGGAGTAAGGGCACATCATTGGAATTAGAACTCCGGAACTCCTGTGCAATAACGTTATACGTGGTTAGAGGCGCTACCCTATTATGACCTGCTAAGAAGCACACGAAGAAACAGTTCATAGTAGGGAAGCGCCCCTAACGGCGTATGATAACATTTCCGAGCATGGGTTTTGATACAGCTTTAATCCTAATAATGTGTCCGAACTTTCCAAGAGGTTTGTCGCAACGTTTATGTGACCACTTTGTTATACAAAACCCCAAAATACCCAGATCTATTATAAACAAATAAACTTAGGTATGGTAGTTTTTTATTTTTTTATTTATTTTATAACCGATTTTGAGCAGCCAGCTCATTTCAGGTTACGATTATCAATAATAAATTCCGAAGCCTTGTATTTTTGAACCCAAACCAGAAGACAATGAAATCTTGGATAATACATTGGGAGAAATTAGCTTTCATAGTAAACTATTTGATGGCATTTGTATTACTTAGAGAAAACTATGGAAACCTCAAACGGTTAGCCTGACAGCTGGGGAATTCTTACCTATGATTCATCTACCAATGCGAATATTTTATGTCGACACTGTAGTCGGTCTGAGCCAGAAGCATATTTCGTATCTACTACGCATCAGCAGAGAGATTTAGCACTTTCCCGTAGCCTCTCGTGTGTTCACACTCTATGCAGCGCAGTTATTATAAAAAGTTCTCTAAGTTCAACAGAGCTTGCGCAGAAAATACTTACGTAACCATGCTGGCTAGTTATGTCCTACATACCAAAGTTGGGCAAAAATATAATTGATTTCATTTTTTGATTACAGTAATCATTTACTTGTAATCATGATTACAAGATAACATAGTTTTGATTTTAGCTGTAATCGTGATTACAAAAATCAATTGCAGTAATCAATTACTTGTAATCGTGATTACAACTTTGATTACAGCTGTAATCGTGATTACAATAATTAATTACAGTAATCAATTACTTGCAATCTTGATTACAATTAACCAACATTTTTATTACAACTATAATCGCGAATCAAAGTAATTAAGATTCCAAGTAATCACAACAAAAACAATTACGGGTAATTATGATTACAAGTGATCAAAATATATGATTATATATAATTGTGATTACAAGTAATTGAATACTGTAATTGAGTATTGTAATCACGATTACAATTGTAATCAACATTTGTAATCATAATTACAAGTATTTGAATAATGTAATTGAAAAGTGTAATCGATTACATTTTTGCTCAACTCAGATGTAATCAAAAATTATGATTACTTGTAATCGCAATTACCTGCAATCGTGATTATAAATAATTGATTACATAGCAGTAATTATTGTAATCAATTACAGTTGTAATCAATTACTGTAATCGACGCCCAAGTTTGCTATATACTTTAGACAATTAGTTTCTATATATCGTACATTACAATTGATTTTGCTGATATTTTACAATTGGCTTCGTTTTTAATACATTTCACTTACTATCTTTGTATTCAGTTTCTGCATTAATTATAATGCAGAAACTGAAGACAAGATTTTTATTAATACTTTTTTTAGGAAATCTAAATAATAATGACTAAATAAAACACATAAAAATTTCACCATAAGGAATTTTTCTTCTTCAATTTATGAATGATAATGACGAATGGTACTATAAATTAAAATGCAATAAGACTTTAAAAAGCAAAGTTTGTTTTAATAGCATTTTATTACATTGACAAAACCAAACTCAACACGGAATGAAACGTTTCAGACAAACAGAAATAAAATTAATGGGAAAAAAAAGAAAAATGGAATAATTAAGTTTACGAATAACGACACAGAAATGCGTTATTTCATTTTTGTGTAATTACATTAGTTTCATTTGATCTAAAGGTCTAGTCTTTTTCTTCATAATTTTGTCAGAAAATTTTTATCTAGCGATTGCTTATCTTAATTTGATCCAATATATTTCCTAAGAGTTCGATTTATTCAGATGAAAGTAATTAACATAAAAACTATTTAACATTTTTTAACTACACGGGTAAGTCACTCATTACTGAAAATGTATGCATTTTTGTTACCAGGGTGAAAAATTAATGCGTGGAGAAATATCTTAATTTTCGATATAAAGCAAAGATGAAACTTTATCAACTCATTATTGTTAAGCATTTAAGCATTTTATTGGAATTAAAAGTGTCCTAAATGTATGGTAAATTAAAAGAATAAAACTTTTTTAAAATAGAAAAAGAAGAAAATTATAATTATTGATTTGCGAAAAGAAAAATAGTTAAACAAAAAAAGTAAACATTTGTTCTTGATTCTAAGTGGTTCAAGTAATATAAAACAAATAAGGAGCATCATTTCCTGCTCGCTGCGCTCGCCTACTTCCGGAACTGTTTCCGCTTTTTTTTTTTTTAATCGGATTTCTTCTCAATACGAAAGCGTGATTTTCGATTTGAAAGCAATGCAAGTTGCGTTTAAAAAGGAAACTGCAAAAGTTTGCAACACATATGTCCTGTTTAACATTTAATTTGTAAGCATGTCACTCAATCTATAGACATTACTACTAGGTTTACATAAATTCCAATGCTACTAAGAAATTACTTCAATGCTACTTGGAATTTTCTTCTAAAAAATTGCAGGTTTTTATTTATACCATTCTGCATGTTTTAACTGTTTTATAGAAAATTTTGTAAGCCAATGCTCATAAATAGTTACAAGACAGAGTTAGTTTGCTTTGAAAGCATGCAATCTGGAATTATAAATTCATAATATATTAATATGTGCATACATTAGTATATTCCCAGTATTCTAAAGCTTTTTTTTTAATATTCCGCCTACTTTTATTTATAGTCCTAAAATAATACTGCATGCTATTTTTTCTGCTCTTTCATAACAATCGGGGATTTTGTGAATTAATACATAGAATTAAAAACGAGAAAAGAAGCTTGTTTTGAAAGCACGTAGTCTAGAATAACAGTTGCGTAACATATTCATACAACTCTTATTCACTACCGTAAAATCACATTCTGTGTTATTTTCGCTCTTTTTATAACAATTGAGAACTTTCGTAAACTAATACTTAGATTTAATGGCAAAGCAGAGTTAACTTGTTTTGTAAGCAAGCAATCTAAAAGTAGAGTTAGTGTATTTCATATTTGGATGTAAATACATATGTATATTTTCAGCATACATAAAGACTTTTTTTTAAACATTTTGCTTTATTTTTCTTTATAAGATTTAAATATAACTACGCGTAATTTTTGTTATTCTGTTAAACATGATACACGTATTTCTATTGTTGAAAACGTAACAGAGCTAACTTGTTTCAAAACATGCAGTTAATATATAACACACATATGTACAAATTGTTTGTTCGGAATTTTTGGAGCAAGAGCCAGTTGTGGCTACACCGCGCCAACGACTAGGTGAATAGTATACATCTAAGTTGTGGGTTAAAAGCTAGATTGATGCATAGGTACCAATGTCCTTGATGTAAGAGGAAATGATATAATGAGGGCTATCACCAATTAATGAAGTCAATGATGGATTTCAGCTACCGAAATGGCGTTCTCTCTGAATTTTTAAACTGTTGCACTGGGTCAAAATATGTTTAATAGTAAGTGGTTCCTCACATGAGGAACATTTAACAAAAGACGCTTATGAGTTATGTTAGCAAGACCAACACGTAAGCGATTTAGAAGTACTTCAAAATTTGGATGAATGTTTAAGTTCTTATAAGGCTCTATAGTAGGTTTGATATTGTGCAATTTATTATGCGTTTCATTTCCCCAGTTATTTTACCAGCGTAAATACAAGTTTTGGTTAAAAGCATTTTTAATATCTAAGTATGTGAGAGGATTCTGCGATATATTGTACATATGTACAAATACATACAATGTATAAATAATTTAACAATGAATAATCACATCATAGTAACATTATTTATAAATGTGTGTATACATTAGTAAACATTCCACGTATTCCAAAGCTAAGTTGATTATTTGGCTATTTTCTATTTACCGTCATAAAATCATATTTTATGTTATTTTCGCCTTCCATAGTAATACGGAACTCATTATTATGTGTTTTTAAGGCTTTCACCCCCCATCCCACCCACACCATAAGAGAACAGATGGATATTCCACGCATGCGTTCCAATGGAGAGCTTATGGATCGATAAACAAGAGGAAAGGGGGGTAAGAATTGGAGATTGGGGGAAAGCAAAATGTAAAATGGAGGACCGCCGTTACACATCTTCGCCGGATCGTCGTTCCAAAAGATCTTCCTCGCTGGCCTCTTACCGGAACGCAGAAACGGAAATTTTGACCTCAAAGACGAACACGGTTCCAAAAGGTAGAATAATTTATTTGTAATTAGTTGAAGATTGTGCATTGAGCGACATTGTTATGGTCATTGCAAATTCATTAACCGACCGGATTTGTTGTGCGTCTGACCATGCGCCATAGCATCATTTTACATCGTAGATACGTACCTATAATTCACCGAAACTTTGTAAACACAAAGGACTTTACCCTCACAGTCGAATACATTTTGACCTTGTCGTTCAAAATTCAAAAAATATTAATTCCTTAAATCAATTTCTTCATGAAATATCGGTTTTAAAAAGCGCACACAACGACACATTAGTATATTTCTATTGGAAAATAGTCAACTCAATTATTATAATCTTTAATAATTGTTATATATAACACCAAAACATATCAGTTTGAAAGCCATCATAGACACGAATCTGCGATTTTCAGAAACTTTGTAAACATAAAGGCTTCTCCTCATAGTCGATTATGTTTTGATCTTGTTAAAAATTTGTTTACATTTAAATTCAAAACAATTATCTCATAAACTATAGATTTTATAAGCACATATAACGGTTTATTTGCATATTTTTATTTGAAAGTAGTTAAATCAATTATTATAATCCTTAATACGTTGTTACATATAACACCTAAATACATTATTTCGTAAACAGTCATAGACAAGTGTCCGTGATTTTAAGAAACTTTGTAAACACAAAGGTCTTTACCCTCACAGTAGATTACATTTTGACCTTGTAGTTTAAATTCACAAAAATATTAATCCCTAAATCGATTTCTTCATGAAATATTGGTTTCACAAAGCGCACACAACGACACATTAGTATATTTCTATTGTAAAATAGTCAACTCAATTATTATAATCCTTAATAATTGTTATGTATATATATAATACCAAAACATATCATTTCTCAATCCATCATAGACACGAATCTGCGATTTTCAGAAACTTTGTAAACATAAAAGGCTTCTCCTCATAGTCGATTATGTTTTGATCTTGTTAAAAGTTTGTTTACATTCAAATTCAAAACAATTATCTCATAAACTATAGATTTTTTTAGCACATATAACAGCTTATTTGCATTTTTATATTTGAAAGTAGTTAAATCAATTATTATAATCCTTAATACGTTGTTACATATAACACCTAAATACATTATTTTGTAAACAGTCATAGACAAGTGTCCGTGATTTTAAGAAACTTTGTAAACACAAAGGCCTTTACCCTCACAGTAGATTACATTTTGACCTTGTAGTTTAAATTCACAAAAATATTAATCCCTAAATCGATTTCTTCATGAAATATTGGTTTTACAAAGCGCACACAACGACACATTAGTATATTTCTATTGTAAAATAGTCAACTCAATTATTATAATCCTTAATAATTGTTATGTATATATATAATACCAAAACATATCATTTCTCAATCCATCATAGACACGAATCTGCGATTTTCAGAAACTTTGTAAACATAAAAGGCTTCTCCTCATAGTCGATTATGTTTTGATCTTGTTAAAAGTTTGTTTACATTCAAATTCAAAACAATTATCTCATAAACTATAGATTTTTTTAGCACATATAACAGCTTATTTGCATTTTTATATTTGAAAGTAGTTAAATCAATTATTATAATCCTTAATACGTTGTTACATATAACACCTAAATACATTATTTTGTAAACAGTCATAGACAAGTGTCCGTGATTTTAAGAAACTTTGTAAACACAAAGGCCTTTACCCTCACAGTAGATTACATTTTGACCTTGTAGTTTAAATTCACAAAAATATTAATCCCTAAATCGATTTCTTCATGAAATATTGGTTTTACAAAGCGCACACAACGACACATTAGTATATTTCTATTGTAAAATAGTCAACTCAATTATTATAATCCTTAATAATTGTTATGTATATATATAATACCAAAACATATCATTTCTCAATCCATCATAGACACGAATCTGCGATTTTCAGAAACTTTGTAAACATAAAAGGCTTCTCCTCATAGTCGATTATGTTTTGATCTTGTTAAAAGTTTGTTTACATTCAAATTCAAAACAATTATCTCATAAACTATAGATTTTTTTAGCACATATAACAGCTTATTTGCATTTTTATATTTGAAAGTAGTTAAATCAATTATTATAATCCTTAATACGTTGTTACATATAACACCTAAATACATTATTTTGTAAACAGTCATAGACAAGTGTCCGTGATTTTAAGAAACTTTGTAAACACAAAGGCCTTTACCCTCACAGTAGATTACATTTTGACCTTGTAGTTTAAATTCACAAAAATATTAATCCCTAAATCGATTTCTTCATGAAATATTGGTTTTACAAAGCGCACACAACGACACATTAGTATATTTCTATTGTAAAATAGTCAACTCAATTATTATAATCCTTAATAATTGTTATGTATATATATAATACCAAAACATATCATTTCTCAATCCATCATAGACACGAATCTGCGATTTTCAGAAACTTTGTAAACATAAAAGGCTTCTCCTCATAGTCGATTATGTTTTGATCTTGTTAAAAGTTTGTTTACATTCAAATTCAAAACAATTATCTCATAAACTATAGATTTTTTTAGCACATATAACAGCTTATTTGCATTTTTATATTTGAAAGTAGTTAAATCAATTATTATAATCCTTAATACGTTGTTACATATAACACCTAAATACATTATTTTGTAAACAGTCATAGACAAGTGTCCGTGATTTTAAGAAACTTTGTAAACACAAAGGCCTTTACCCTCACAGTAGATTACATTTTGACCTTGTAGTTTAAATTCACAAAAATATTAATCCCTAAATCGATTTCTTCATGAAATATTGGTTTTACAAAGCGCACACAACGACACATTAGTATATTTCTATTGTAAAATAGTCAACTCAATTATTATAATCCTTAATAATTGTTATGTATATATATAATACCAAAACATATCATTTCTCAATCCATCATAGACACGAATCTGCGATTTTCAGAAACTTTGTAAACATAAAAGGCTTCTCCTCATAGTCGATTATGTTTTGATCTTGTTAAAAGTTTGTNGGTCTAATGCACTGTAGGAACAGGGTCCTTTTAGTTTTCATGGCTAATTTCGAGTTATAATTAAGTATTGGTTTTAGTGAGTGGTAGGCACCCTCAGCTTTAGCAGTAATATTCGTAATATGGGCGTTCCACTTCATGTTGGAGGTTAATGTGATCCCTAGGTAGGTGGCTTTTTTGACTACTGGGATAACTTCATTAAAAAGTAGTAGGAGGCTATTTTTCAATTTTTTCTTATCTTGCTTCCTCATTATGAGGAGGGAGGATTTGCTTGCATTAATTGATATCTTCCATTTGGCGCACCATTCCTCAATGTATGGTATGATATGCCTTAAATTCTTAATAGCATTATTTGGGTTAATTGATTTACTCAGAATTGCCGTATCGTCTGCGTAATACGCAGTGCATATATTGGGCTTATCGTTGAAATTTGGGAAGTCTGCCGAGTAGATCAAATAAAGTGTGGGGCCAAGAATGGAGCCTTGGGGTACACCTGCTCGGATCGATCTGGCTGATGATAAGGAGTCATTCACTTTGATATGAAATGTTCTGTTATTAAGGTAGCTGTTGATCAGTAATATAAGGTCGTTCGGGATTTTATATTTGATAAGTTTGAAAATGAGGCCCTGGTGCCAGACGCGGTCAAAAGCTTTGGCCACGTCCAACATCAGGAGCGCAGTAGTCTCGTTTTTATAAAAGCTTTTGGAAACCTCTTCTACTATGCGAACCAATTGTTTCGTAGTTGATAAATTTTCCCTGAAGCCGAACTGTTCTTTAGGCAGGAAGTCTAAGTGGGGTTTGAGTCTGTTCAGTATAGTTCTTTCAAATATTTTTGAGAAGGCTTTTAGTAAACTGATGGGCCTGTAGCTCTCTGGGTTTAGCAGATTTTTGCCCTGTTTGGGAAAAAGCACAATCTGTGCATGCTTCCATTGTTGTGGGAAATAGCATCTTTTCAGGCATGAGTTCAGAATATTTTTTAGTTGCACTATAATATTTGGAGGGAGGTATTTTATCATAACATTATTGATGTGGTCGAACCCTGGTGCTTTATTATTTTGGAATTTATCTATAATATTATAAAGTTCTTCAGTAGTGATGGGCTCGTTTTCATTAAGTGGAGCGTTTACCCTTATGTACTCGCTATATGTGCTAAGAATATTTGATTCGGAAGAGATATCCCTGGGTTCACTATTGATTGAAAATTGCTTCTCCATGGTGTCCGCGAATATCTCACTTTTATCTATGTCGGAGTAGGTTTTGCCGTTTGGCCCTTGGAGGGGCATATTTGTGGTTCTTGTAGATTTAAGGGCCCTGACCATATTCCAGGCGGTCTTGTCTTGGGTGGTTAGACTCTCAACTTTTTCGTCCCAAGTCTCTTTTTTGAATTCCGTGATTTCTTTTTTAATGAGCTTGGTGTATTTGTTCACTTGTGATTTGATAGCAGGGTCCCTCGTCCTGTGGTATTCCTTCCTGATATTGTTTTTAATCCTAATGAGGCCTTTGATATAATACGGGAGTTTATAGTAGTCGTTCCTTATTTCCATTTTATATGACGCTCCGTCATAGGCTTCTTGTATATCCTTAGTTAGGTTGGAGATTTCGTTCTCTATTTCTATATCAGAACTTAGCTCAGGTGAGGAGTTTGGTCTGTTTGCGAGATGGTTTACATAAGAAAGCCATTCAGTATTAGTTTTGGTTCTGGTTTTGTCCTGTTTTTTGAACATGGCTGTGATGTAGATAGGGAGATGGTCGCTACTGAGCTCGTAGGTGACATTTATGGTGAAGGGGTTGCATGAATTGGTGATTAAAAAGTCCAGAATATCATGGGTATGAAGTATGCTCAAGGGCATATACGTAGGCTCGGTGGGAGCGTAGACCGTAAGGTTATATTTCTTGACAAGTTTCAAGAGGTTTCTTCCCGGGGTATTTTCTTTGACACAACCCCATATTTT